GGAGCAACTCCTCTCCAGCTGTTACTGTCAGTAAGATCACCTTTTTTTGAGCAGTCTCACAAGTAAGCCATGTTTCCACTCGTTGAGGAGGAGTCTCTTCCTCTGAGACTTCACTGAACAGCTCTGTCAGTTTTGTTAGTGTAGTAACATCATGCGCACTTCACATTTCTTGCTGTGATTTGATCATCAACCTTGGCTTTGTTGTTTTTCAGTATCTTGACTGCAGCCTGTACTGCTCTATTGGACTGATGTTGGTAGAAGGCTAACTAGCTGCTATAGAACACTGTAAGGCAATTTTGGGATGAGAAACCTCCACAAATGTGAGGGTTTTGTACTAATTAGGCAGCAGTAAGAGCAATTTCCTTGATCACACTGCCCTGCTAAATGACTGTTGGGGATTATAGCACAACACAATGGAACTACATGAAACAGAATTGCACTAAAAGGCTATATTTCAAAACCTAGCACTTTCCAAACCTGTGTACATACATCACTGCTTATAAACAGATATCTTGCAACTGCTTTTAGTTCTTTACCTGCTCCAACCACTTTTTTTAAAAAAAATCAACAACAGAGATTGACATAAGACTGTAAAAGGGGGGCCTGGAATGCCAGTTGAGCTAGGTTGGAGTGCTGGACTTCCTGCCCCCTGCTTCCATGGCTGATGTACCTCATTTTAAGGGGAGGGGGAATCATGGGACCTAAGTCCTCCCACTCCACCTGGTCCCAGCCTCAGGCCCTAAGTAAATCAATCCCTAAATAGAGGAGTTCAAGTGGGGAGTCTATGTCCATTGGCGCTTCTTACATTTTAAAAATGACTATTTAAGATGTAAGTAATAGCTGTTGATAACAGGGCATTTTAGAATAAGAAAAATATGTTTGTCGGTCCAAAACCCAGGTAATTGATAATGAGTTGAACACATTTCATTATGGTGAGAGAATGTCTCACAATGGGATTAAGGAATAAACAGAATTAGCCATGGAAGGCCTAGCCTTTCTTGGTTACAAGCTGACCAGGTACTGACTGTGGTGTGTATGGTTATGGTGTCAGAAGAGCAGATGTGCTCAGTCAATAGCATTGCCACATTTACCCTGCTGTAATCTGAAGTCATGCTGCGTGTGCTCAGTGCTGGTGACCTCGGATGGACTGGAGTGGAGGCATTGCTTCGGTTCACAGAGCTCACTGTGCCTTTCACGTTACTGGGAAGGGTCTCTGGGTCATTGTTGTTCAACGAAAGAGTGCTTCCCCTGCGGAAACAGGACAAACAAATCTCTGTTCTCAAAACATAGTCAGCAAGAGGGAAAAACAGGAAACAAAGTTTACTAGAACTATCTTGTACCATATAAGCTACATGCTTTCCACTCTAACGATGGATCAGCTACAAACACTACATGGAAACTATGACTCCATATCTGGTGGCATGGAGAGAAGAATTAGGTGATGGTTAGAGATATTGTCTGGATATATTGCTTGATGCTTTTGTTCTCAGAATTAGGAACATTTTAAACATCTCTCTGGCACACAGTATTAAAAGCATCCAAGAACTGCACAAGATTTGTTTTCCTGCATGTTTATTTCATAACTACAGCAGCTGATTCAGCAGTCCTGCACGTGACACTCTCCATCACACACCTCTTTTTGTCCCCTCTAACCCTTTCCATTGGTGGTCCTGAATCACACCAAATTTTTTTTTACTAACCTTGCAGTCATTCAACAAGACTGACAGAAAGAAGCAGCATTCAGAATACAGAAATCTAGCTATTAAACAGAGCTATCATCTGTCAATGGGCACTGATACACTAACTCCAGTTCCTGCCACCAGGAAAATCTCATGACAATAGACACTGGGATAACAATAAAAAGGTGATGGAGAGAAACATTGCTAGAATTGAACTGGCTTTTTTACCCATTTAAACAAAATGCCACTAGCCTGCATAATAAATCTGCAAGGATCTGTTGGCATTCCCTTCATGTTACACATGAAGGACACCTTCGCTTTGTTTATCCTGTCATATCATGTTTTGAATAACTGCACTGAAATGCCCCATTGCCAACTGGAAACTTTTAAAAGAGCCATGGCTGAAGTGAGGAACAAAATTCTTGACTGGGCCAGCTCATGTCCCTCTAGCAACTTAAAATAAAAGATCATTTCAGAAGCCCAGGGTTTTAGTCAGACTGCACCTGTCCTGTTCTGAGAGTTTAATGCCCCTTAATTAAAAAAACCCAAACAAACACTGGCTTCTTGTCTGTGAATGTAAAACTAAAATACTCTGCCACTCCAAAGAAAATGAAATGTTTTAGGAACAGCTAGGAGGTGATCGCTGTGTACTGAAGACCTTTGGATTTTAGTTCAATGATGGTTTCATTATTTTTATGTGTTTCTGAAAAGTTCATATCAAAAAATAATTTTAGGGTTCTCTTCCAACCTCTCCCCTCACCCTAGTGGCTTTTATAAAGACCTGGGTCTTTACTGTTAGGAAATAAAGCTAAAATTATTGTGCATCACCTGTATACAAGTCAATGGCATAGCCAGGATGGGACAAGTAGATGAGCACTGACTTCAGGTGGGCAGGCAATGATGGGCCAGCTTCCCCCCTTCAGTTAGCCATGGGGAAGGGACCCTGTAAAAACAGGTCTTCCATTCTTCACCTGGTACTCAGGGCTTGCTGCTGTGGGGTGCTCCTGCTAGGGGCTTGTTCTGCTCTGCTCAACCAGTGCCACCAGAAGGGAACATGATCTGGGTGTGGGCCCTGCTCAGGCCCCCCATTCCCGGTGCTGGGAGTGGGGATTGGGAGTAGGACTTGCCTTGTTCCCAACCCAGGGAGCTGGGTCAGGGCTTGCCCTAATCTGCCCTCCCCCACTCAGCCCACCACTCCCAGAGGGGAGCAAAGTCTGGGATAGGAGGCTTGCCTTGCTCCAGTGCTCCAAGCAGGTGGCGGGGTTGAGGCGCTGGTGTTTGCATTGGCTCCAGCCACGAAGCAGGGTCTGGGGATTGCCCCCCTGCTGGAGAGTGGGCTCGGGGTATGGGGGCACACAAGTCCTGCGAGGGAATGGAGTTGGGGAATGCCAGCCGAGAAGAGCAGGGCTGGCCCCTCAGTCCACACCCCAGGCCAGGCTTGAGCACTCGGTAGATCAGTGCAAGCCCCCATGTCCAGGTGAGAGCAGACCCACCTGGGGGAGGTGAGTGGCCCGGGATCCTAAGTGGGTGGGTCACAGCCCACCCAGGCCCACCAGTGGCTATGCACCTGATTCTAGTGTTGCTCTTGGGTTTAGATGCTCATACCTGAAGTTTGGATGCTAAAACTTCAAACTGGCCATACAAATAACCAGAATTTGGAACTCTTGGATTTTGTTGCATGTCCCACCATAAGTGAAAAATTGTAATGGTTTTAACCAGAAAACTTGTTCCTTAAGATATTTTCTCATTATATGAATTAAAACTAAAAGCTGTTCAAAAAGAAAGTTAGAGAAACAAATTCAATAATGTGTAACCATAAAACACCTGCAAGGATCATAAATTGGATTTAAAAGCAGGAACTTCAGACACGCAACACAGACCTCTATAAGCGTATTTTCTCATTTACCTGTTTCAGTCAAAGCTAGAGGGGAATGTGACCTATTTTGTCACTTGTTTACACAACTATTTGTTAGACAGCAGTGAAACACAGAATCAGGAAATCCTAATTCTGTTCCTGGCTCTGGGTGTGTGTCTACATGGAGTAAGATGTAATTTCCATCTTAAAAAGACATACCCATGCTAGCTCTAATCAAGTTGGTGTGCTTAAAATAGCACAATCACTGTGGTGCAGGCAGCAAAAGGGCTCAAATACACCTAGGGTCTTGGATGAGATCATGCTCAGGTAGCTGGACTGTCTCATGGCTACACTTCTGTTTTTAGCCCGCTACCTTGAACAGAGCTCTACTCAGTCCAGAAATTACGCACACTGGCACCAGTACAGACATACTCTGGGAGGGAAGGTAGTCCTGCAGTTAGAGGAGTTACGACCCACATGTTAGCCAAGCACACAGACTGGTGTTCATTCAGGCTGGAAGGGCAGGGTGGCTAAGTAAATGAGACAGACCTTCTTTTACCATTTTTGCTAGAAGTCGCCATGTACTTGATCTAGTTGATCCATGCCAGACTACTCCTGCTAACGTGACTACCCTGCTACTTATACTCATAGCAGCTCGATGTGAGTTCAAGTGAGTTATGTTCACGAGAAGGGGGATTACACCCCTCACTGGTAGCCTATACTTTTGCACCATGCTCACCACAGCAATATCTGAACACCCACTGCAAAGCCCATTTTGCCTGCTTTGCAAAATTAAATGAAGAGGTTGCTCTACTTCTTGTTCTTTCTTTGGACACTACATAACACATGTTTAACAGTAAGACAGTCAGAATCTTGAAAGCAAAACTCTGTCACTTCAATCCTTCAAGCGAAGCAGGAAAAAATAGGTACAAATCAAAATGGAAACAGCAAAGAGCCCACATCTGTTCTAATAAACGTTCCAGGCATAGATCGTGGTTGTGTACAAATAGTCTGATTACCTAAAGGAAACAACATTTGGATTCAAGACAAGAGTTGACTTTAAAGTTGGCCTGGCTAATGAGATCTGTTCAGAGTGGATAAAAGTGGATTGGGAGAATCCAGGGAGACTATAAACCTCAATCTTTCATCTCGGCACTACAATTATTAATTATAGTCAATAAATCAAAGGTCAGAAGGGGAAATAAGTGTCTTGTTTAAATAACAGGACTCATCTGCAATACGTCAATTGTTAGAATGCTTATTTTCACCTAATACTCTTCATGATGAATTTATCAGAATGCTGCCAAGGAGATGAATATTTAAGTCACTGTTCATTTAACTGGCTTGAAAGTTTTATATTTGAAAAAGCTATCATTTTATTTTTATTCTTGGAAGAACACAAATATTATGTCAGGTTTTTTCCCTATCATCTGGGACCAGATTTTCAAAAAAAGCTTAGATCCTATTTCAGATACCAAAATAAGTGACCAGACCTTACAATCTCTGAGTGCTGAAGTCCAGAAGAAACCATTATAATCATTTGGTTTGTACACTTGCATAACTCAGACCCAAGAACCTCACATAATAATTTCTACATCAAGTCCATAATTTCTGATTTGGCTATCACATGTCTTTTAAAAATATATCCAATCTTGACTTAAAGTCCCCAAGTGAAGGAGAAGGCACCATGTAACTGGATATGTTGTTCTAATGATTAACTATCCTTGCTGCTAAATTTTGCATCTTCTTTCTGTTCTGAATTTGTCTAGCTTCAGCTTCCAACAACTGGATTTCATTATTCCCTTTTCTGCTTACAATGGAGTGGAAAGTAAGGCTGCTCAGCAGTGCCCTCATCGGGGCCACACCTGGTACAGCAGGCCCTCCCACATGAGTCTGCAAGGAACAGCTGCCTATAGCCTGTGCTGTAACTCTGTCAGTCTTTAAACTGTCAGGTAATAAAACTGCACCTGTGAAAGGGGAAAAAACACTCTGAAATGCAAGTGCCTAGATCAGGGGTGGGGAGCCTAAGGCTCAGCGGCCAGATGCAGTCCTTGGCTTGCCTGGATGCAGCCCACGAGCATTGGGAAGCCCGCGCTAGTGCTCCCGCTCCCCACTCACCATCTTCCTGTGGGGCTGGAGTGCACAAAATCTACTAGGCTGGTCCCCCCTAGGCTCTGGTGTGCGAGGGGAATGTCTTTCTCCTCAGTCGGGGGCCACATCAATGAGCGTTGTTGGTTTTTTGGGGGGTTTTTTTGCTTCCCACTTGGGTGTAGTCCCTGACTGACTTGTCTGTGTGTCGGTGGCCCCCACCCCTGGCTTACATCAAGGTCCTGGCCTCGGGTTTGATTAGCCCTGAGGTTATCTCCTCCTGTGGCCCCATCTCACCCAGCTCTGCTCCTGACCAAAAGCAGTCTTGCCTTCTTAAACTGGCCTTGTTCTTCCCTGGTCAATAATTTTTCTTGGCCCTTCTAGGCCTCTGGAGGACTGTGTTTTTGGTCACCTGGTCTGAGTGCATTGCCTTTGGGTAGCAAGGGCTTATCTAGACTATGCTAGAATGTCGAAAGAGGATATGCAAATTCTGCAGGATTTTCTTT